CGGAAAGTCAAAATCTCAGGCACTTGCACTAGCTAGCGAAGTCGGTTTCTAAATACTGGTGTAGGAACTGCCCTCCAAGCGGAGAAAGCGAACTTTGCCGCCGGCAGACAGTACGGGACTCTTGGCTGGGGCGCGCGCGGGTGGTTACCAAGCCCACTCTCCGCTTGCCACCGCTGAATTTCCCGCCTGAGCCGGCGCCAGGGCTCCCGGTCACTAGTGCTGCACCCGGCGCCCGTCTGGAGATAGCCCTTGGTGGTGGATGGCGGGAGTCCCCCAAAAAACGTGTTTTGCTGCTGGGATTGAACTGCTGGAGAGCGAGTGCGCCGAGGGCGCACAGCGTAGACTTGGCCAGGGGCGGGATACCCACCCGAGCCTGCTCCAGACCTCGGGTTCGAAGCCGCTCCAGTGTTCTAAGAGAGGTTAGGATTGAGTGACAGCAGTTCAGTAGGAAAGGAGTTTCTGAAACTCCCGGGGAAGCGAAGTCCCGGGGTTTAGAAAAATAACCGAATCTATGGAGGGCTTTCCAAACTTGATCTTTCTTTTTTCTGTCATTTTTTCCTGCTCTCCCCGCACCCTCCCCCCAACTCCAGCCCTAACTCCAACCCTAAACCCAACCCCAACCCTAGTAAAGAGCCCTAAGGGCTAGAGGGTACAAGCCACCTCAACCCTTCCTCCTTTTCCCTCTGCCCCCGAAAACTTTCAGACAAGGAAAATACAAATAAACCCCAGGTGGTTAATGCGGGTGCATTCAGGAACAACCCCCCCCCCACACACACACACACACAGCTGGCCACCCGCTCTGTCCCACCCACCTCCGGGCAGGGGAGGGACTGGGAACCTGATCTCCGGGCTCCTGCCCCGAACGTTTCCCCATCAATAATGTTGATACCATCGTTGTGCCTCCTCCCCCGCCCCCGGGGCGCCGCTGCCGCCTTTTCGCCGCTTTTTGCCTGGCTTAAGAAAACGAAACTTCCACTACTGCCCTCCTAGCCTCGGCCGGGGGCCAGCGGGGCCTTGAGCTGGGGACTGAGGAAGCAGGGGTGAAGGCACAGCGCTTGGAGGCGTCCTCCATTTCTGTGGTAGGGTGGCCAAGCAGCGTCAGCGAAACGGAAAAGAGGGTCTGAGGCCCAGTCAAGGCCTCATCCCAGGCCCCATCCCAGACCCGAGGTCAGATCGGGCCAAAATAAGATACTTTTGAGGGTAGAAGAACCAGGCCTTAGAATGCGCGAACCTTGACTCCCCCCTCTTTACCCTTCCTAGGACCAGAGGTTGAGCGAAGAAGCCTGGAAACCCCAGGACTGGGACCCCAGTTGTGGCCTGCGGCCTTGGGGCACAAACCTTCGGCCACGCCAACCCACCAAGGACACTCTAGGACTTGGGAAAACTGAGGGGACGTATTAGTAGGAACGAGCATCAATCCCCCAAGATGGGAGTTTGCAAAACTCGCCAAGCGCCTCCCCGAGGTGCGGTTCCTCTCCGCCCGCGAGGTCGCGACCCCAGCGCAGCTGCCGCCTCACTTCGGGCTATCCCCATTCGCTACTGCGGATCAGCCCCTAAGTACCAGGCCCTCTCGAGGAACCTGCAAGTACAAACTTCGCTACCCGGATTCCCCAGTAGTCCCCCCGCACCCCACCTCCACCCAGGGCTAGGAAGGTGCGACCGCACATAGAGCGCGCAGGGCTCTAGGGTGAGCAGGGCGTGTAGAGGGACTCCAGCAGTGGCACCTCACTCCCACTCGCCGCCTACTTTCGACACGCACAAAAATAAAGATTAGCCCCCACTCTGCCTCCGTTTTTATTGATGTAAGTATTTCTTTGCATCGCGGCACGCGGAGCCTCGCCAGCGCCCTGACACTGCGGCGCCCGCACCAGCGAACCACGGAACTTGGGACCGAGACAATGGCCTGTAATTGATGTATTGCCATCAACAATAAAGACCAATTCTCCTCTCCCCGCCATTCCGACCATCCCCCTCCTCCCATCCCCCCCTTCTCCACCTCCCATCTCCTCTCCCGGGGCCACCGAGGGAAAGAAAACAAACAAGAAATTAGCAGGGGACGCCGAGCGCAGAGCGAAACGCCCGCCTCTACGCCGTCGAGGACGCAAAAAAACGAAAAAAGTTATTAAAGTTTGGGTCCCCCAATTTATTCGTCTCTGCTCGCCCATTTTTAATTAAACATCGCGAAGCTGCTTTTTGCATGTTCATTTCGTTTGGTTGTTTGTTGTGGTGTTTTTTGCGGGGGAGGGAAGGTTCTTTTTTCCTCCACTTAATCTTAAATCACACGTAGACCAAGTAACAAACACATGTGAAGCCATTCCCGGGAGCTTCCTGCTGCGCACGCGGCGCGCACCAGGAGAAAAGCTTTCCGGGACCGCCAGCTCCGCTAGGTTCCTGACTGCATGCGGTGCCCGGGAGGCCCGGACTTTCAAGAAGCCAAGATTGTTACGAGAAGGATGCGGGCGGCTCCAAACACGGGCACATTCCGGGAAAGGAGTGTGCAAGTGCACGCAAACGCGTTCGTGTACCTGGGAGAGTGTGGGCTGGTGGGTGTGCAAGGACCCCTGTTTGTGGGATGGGGGGGGTGCGGGATTTACACGTGCTCCGGTACACGTTCCCCGGGGTCTGGGAGAAGCTAGCCGCTCACACCCCAGGAGCGCGCAGATCCATCTTTGCCGAGGGATCTCTTTAAATATTCAGTGAGAAATAATGGCATTTGAAGCACCACCTATGGAAACATTATTATCTTCATTCTTCAACATCAGCCCCACTGATAGCTTCGTTTGTCTTTTTATCAAAATCTACTGTACCCATCAGGACCTGGGGAGAAAGGGAGAGCGAGGCGGAGAGGGTGTGAATGTGTGTGTTAGGGAGTGCGCGAGGGCAGAAGATAAGAAAGTAAGAGAAAAGGTGGAAAACGGACGATCAGGGAGAAAGAAGGGAGAAGTTATACCAATAAAAAAATAATAAAGTCAGCAGATGAAAAATAAACATTCACCAGCACACTAAAACACATTTACACCTTAAAAATAAAAGATTTAAGAAGCTAAGAGAAAGGTCCTTTACAGGAGCGCAGTACGGGTCCAGAGTACCCGAAGTCGGCTCGTGAGACTGGTGCCCACTTCGCGCGAACCGACCGTGTCACCAGCTAGACTGAAGGGCGCTCGCAAATTGGGGCGTCCTTATGAGCTCTCTCCTTTCCTGATCGCGAGATAGGGCAGGGATTGTGTATCTGCACCCCCCTCCTCCCCCATTACTCAGCCGAAGTTTAGTTTAGTTCTTCGGGCGCAGGACTTCGAGAACCTTGGAGCGAGGAGACCCAGAGGCGCGAGGGGAAAGAGCTAGGCTGAGCCGCGTACCGAGTCTCAGGTTCGCGGGCGCCTGAGCCCGGCAGAGGGATCGGGCTCCCGGCTCTGGGCCCTGGGGTGCGGGAAGGGAGGTTGCATCTCAGCTTCGGGGAGATGGTGATAGAGCGAAAAGTTTGGGCGAAGCGCTCGGCAAGTGCCCGAAAAGTGGAGGCGAGCTTCCGCGCCTCCAGGCAGCCTCGGACAGAACACCTTCCCACCGCCACCCCCCAACCCAGTTTCCCGGCTCTGGGCCGCCACCTCGTCCCCGAAGGCTGGGGCGCAGCCCCCTCCCCAGGGCGGGGTGCCCAGGGGTCCCGGGGACTGGCCCAGTCCAGTGCCCGGTCCGGCCGGGCCGTGTCTCTCCAGGCCGGGGCGGGCTGCTGCGCTCAGGGTGAGCTGCAGCCCCTCCCCTCCCCCCGGCCGGAGCTGAACTCGCAGCCCAGGCCGGTCCCCGCTCTCCGCCCGCCCGGGGCTCTGCGGCGCCACCGCTGCCGCCGCCTCCCCGCGGAGTGACGCGCCCTGCAGCCAACCGGGGCAGCCGGGGGGGAGGTCCGGGAGGGGTCCTGGGCGGAGCCGGGCCGCCCCCTTATCCCACGGGCTCAGGGCTGCTTCTCCCGAAAACTTCAGCCCTAATTGTCCTGGGAATGTCCGAGGTAGAGAAAGGGAGCGAGGGAGCAAGCAAGAGGCTGGAGAATCAGGGTCCCTGGCGGGGAGGGGATGGGGTGGCGGGAGAACTGCCCCTCCCCCCGGCCACAAACCCATCAGGTTCCCAAACCTTTCCTGGATCCTCTTCTCCGCGCCCCCGCGAGCCCGGGATCCAGGGGATGGAGAACTCGGGGCTGAGGAGCGCCGAGCCAGGCGGGAGGGAGGCCGAGCCGTGGGCGGGAGGCGGACCGGCGTGGGGCTGGCTCTTCCCCACTCGCTTATTTTTTTTTTTATGGGGGTGGGGGTGGGCTGCTTTCTGGTAGCTCTTAAAGAAACGAAGAAACACTCACGAAACGGGACGCCCTCCCCCCAAATCCCGCCGCGGGACTCCCTCCCCCCGCGGGCCGGCGCGCCTCGCGCCCGAGTTGGGAAGTTCGCAGCGCGCCGCCAGCCTGAGTCCCCAGCCCCCGCCGCCCGGCCCCACCCCCCACCGGGGCGGCTCAATTCCGGGGAGGGCATGCTAATTTGGGTCGGCCCAGCCCGGGATAGGGGGGCGAAAGAGGGAGGGGAGAGGGAGAGGAGAGAGAGAGCGGGGGGCGCCGGCCGGGGCGCCGGGCCCGCAGTGGAGAGGAGGCCGGCCCCCGGCGGCCTGGCCGCGGAGTCCCGGGCGGTCGCAAAGAGGGTTAACCCAGTGTCGGGCGGCGCGGCGTGCAGAGCCAGCCCCGCGGCCGGCTTATTGGGCCAGCGCGCGGAGAGACAGGGGTCTGCAGCAAATCACGAACTAATTGATTAAGGCGAGCGGGTTTGAATAGCGCTGGCCCGGTGCCAATCGCCTTTCAAAGAGCCCCTCTATGATTAATCGCAATGCATTATTGATAATCATAATTATAGCAGGACACATGCGCGCTGCGCCCGGGGCCGGGGAGCCGGGGAGGGGGCGGGCGGGCCGGCGGGCGGGGGGAGCCGCCGCCGCCGCCGCCGCTCGATTTCCGTAATTTTGAGAAGATTTTTTTTTAGTAATTTTTTATTCTGCCCCAGCTGATGTTTGAGCCAGCATGTCGCGGAGGAAGCAAGCGAAGCCTCAACATTTCCAATCCGACCCCGAAGTGGCCTCGCTCCCCCGGCGAGATGGTGAGTGCTCCGGCCCGCGCCGTGGACACACACACACACACTCACATTCACGCACACTCGGATCCACGCACACGCGGCTGGCCCCCGCGCCCCCTACCTCGCCGCCGCCGCGGCCCCGATTGCTTCTTCCACTCGGCGTAATTTTTTTTTTTTCTTTTTAATTTTCAATTTGCCTTTGCTGGGCTTTCCCCCGCTGCCCCGGCGAAAGCGAGCACATCTCCCGGCAGGATCTTTCCGGAGTTGTTGGGTCCTCCCGGGGGAAGGAGGGCGGGCATGCCGGCCTGGCTTCTCCGTCCCGGCTTTTCCGGGGATCCCAGCCACCGCCGGGACCCGGGAGCCCCATGAGGCGTGGGTGCTGGCGGAGGTCGTCCCCGCCGGACCGCAAGGGGCCCCTGGCGCTCCCCGCGCCGCGCCCCGGGGCCCCCGGCCCGGCCTCCGCCTCCCGGCCCTGCTGCCAGCGGGAAGGAAGTTTACTTCGGGCGCTGGGCTGAACTCCGAGCGTGGGGGAGCTCGCTGCACCCCCCCTCCCCGCCCCACGCGCACACTCCCCCTCGGCCCGCGCTAGAACGGGGTGCCTTTGGAGGTTCAGAGCTGCAAGAAGATGGGTACTGGTGTCGGGGCGCCCGCGCCTGACCTGCTGGGGTCGCGGCCGGGGTGGAGAGTGCCGCTGGCCGCCAGTTGTTCCGGAGACGGTGCAAACGGACGGGGGAAGTGTCGGGGTCTGGCTCGCAAAGTTTATCTCCGCATCTCTTCCCCCAACAATTGCACCCTCTGCCCCCCAAAATCTTTACGGTCTGTATGCGCCCTCTGCGGATCGTGGTGCCCCCTACTTCCAGGGGGGTCGGGGAAGAAGTCGTAGGATAGTTTTTCAGGTTTGCGGGTGACCAGCCAGAGTGGAATCCCCCCTGAAACAGGGGCACTCGCTTTCCCCCATGGAGGCGACAACTGTGGGTCCCGAAGGGGCTGAACAAGTCCAGAACAAAGTTTGTGTGTGGGAGCTCTGGCAAAGGGTGGAAGATATCCGGGCAGGGAGTTGGGGTACAGAGGGAGGACACCTGGAATCCCTCCTTGCTCCTAAAGGTGTTTCACTGTACCGGCCTCAAAGCTCCCAGGCCTAGCACCCGAGGCAATGCAGCGGCGCCCGGGCTCGGGTCCCCGGGTCGTCCCGGCGCGATGCTGGCCTCTCGGCTGCGGGAGAACGGACAAGGAGCAACCTCGGCGGGTTCTCAGCGGCTCTGGATGCCGCTCGGGATGCCCACGTCCTAGGCGGCATTTTGGGGTGTGGAGGAGGGAGCTGGGCCCCGACAGAGCTCCGAAGCGTGCCCCTGATCGACACCTCAGCCCACTAAGCTGCGGCCGCCCGGGCCCCCAGGTCCCCGGCTCGTTTCTCAGAGGCCTGCCTCTCGGTAGAGCTGGGGCACAGTGAAGCGAAGGGACCCCCGCTCCCTTTACCCCTGCTGTCGGGAAAGGGGAGTCCTGACTTGGGGTTCCTGTAAAAAAAATGGGGGACTTGAAATCAATTAAGAAAATGCTTTACAATAACCCTCCTCCCGGCCCCCAGTATTTCCTCAAGCTTGAATCCTTACCCATGGCCTCTGCGATTTCTCAGTCCGCTGAAAAGAGCCCTTGAACCCCGCTTTCCACCCCAAGCGAAAGCAAGCACGCGGGGTAGATCGAGGTGAGATGACCCAAGGCCGCAGCAGCTGCGTCGAGTATTTTTCCGGGTTTTTCTCAGCTTAGTTTCTTCTGCTTCCCGCACCCACACCCATCTTTCCTAAAGTTTCTGGTGAGACCTTTTGCACCGGAAAACTGTTCAAGTTAACAGTTTGTACACAAAAAAAGCAAACTAGAGATAAGAGAGCATTTTCTAGTGTGTTTTGTACATTTGTACTGGTTTTCTACATTTTCAAAAAAGAAAAAAGTCTCGGCCTTCTAGGAGAAATGATGCGTGCTAGATCTTTGCCTTTCGCCTTCTGTATCAGGAATTTTTAATAGTTAAGTCTTCTCATAAAGCAATAGTATAAAAGGAGTTCACTACCTGTTACCATTATTCTTTATTAGTACTAATTTTTTCAGTTTAGTTTATTTGAGCTTGGAGGTAAGTTAGTTAACTCCATCAAGTTTCCTTCCTTTCTCTTTTCTCTCCTTCTTTTGATTTCTCTTCCTTCCTTTCTTTTTTCTTCCCAAAAGCTGGTACATTGTCCTAAAGAAGCGGTAAACTATTAGGGGCTCCCTAGGAAACACCCCCTCCCAGCCTTCTTTCCTCACCTCTCCCCACCCCCTCCTCTTTTTCTTCGGTAGTAATGGTTTTAGGTTATGACTGTTTTTACATGGTTGAACAATAAGTTTGGGAGAAGTTGCCTAGAGGGTGGATTTTGTAATAGGGTTTCAGGATTTAGTGTGTTGTAATAATATTAGTACACAAGTAATCCTCCCCCAACGCTGGACATACAGGAGGGCCTAACATACTCCAGTTCTTTTTATTTGAAAGTAGTTCTGAGATAAATGGCATTGAAAGTTCATGACATAACTCAAGGTTACCTTTTAAAAGTCACCTTTTCTGCAGTGAGTTCAGCAATCTCATTCTTCTCCCCACATACAACCCCTACTTCTAGGAGTAGCTGGGTTTTCTGTTCGGTTTTGTTTTTTACGTAAAGAAACATTGTTACATTTTTAGATGGCAAGCCCCTTTTCAAACATTCTGATTACTTTTTCTTATGTCTTGAGATGGTCTTTGAAATATGACAAAGGAAATACGAAACATACCAAATTAAATCTAGTTCATGCACTTCTCCTTTACCAGCACCTCTAATTGTATGACTTCTACCCAGAGTGAGACCTAGAAAAGTTTGTAGACCCAAGTTACAGGAGCCCTGAAGAAGCGGCTCCCAAAGCTGAAAGCAGCGAGGGCTGCTTGGTGTTGTGTGTCTTGCCTGTGTGTGTTTGAGTGTGTGTGTGCTTACAAAGAAAACCCAGACCATGCTAAGAAGCCACACAGACAGCTTCATCTGAAGCAAGTGCAAACAAAAAACAAACACAAAAACCAAAACAAAAAGAAAAACAAGTATTTGGTCTATTTCAGGATGCTGGTATTTTATTTTACTTTAGTGTGCAGCTGCTATGCCAGAAACACTCTAAACTTGGTAATTTTTCTGCTTCTTATGAAACCAAGATTATGGCAAATATGACTTATCTCCTCAATGATATGCAACAAGTCTTGAATTACTTGCGGAAATATGACTGCTACTGGAAAGATTGTTTATCAAGTAAATAATTCCGAGGAAAGGGAATATTAGAATCTAATGATTTGATTTGTGGGTTCTTTACTATAAATTGGGATTTCAGTTGTGTGTTGTATGTGTGCGGGTTGGGGTTCTTCCTTTGGTGGCGTTTTTAAGATTCCTGTAATTTCTACATGGATGGCCCATTTAGACTCCATTCATTTATTTAAAAAGTATTTTGGTGCTCAGTTTTTTCAAGGAAAAGATAATATTGGAAGAATGAAACACCACGAATTGCAGCTAAAACACTAACAATCATATGAAGTATCATAAAAATTCCTCTTATTTATATTAATAATGAAATTCTATTATTTACCAAAGTAATTTGCTCATTTTGAGCAGTTTCATAGCAACACATTGATCTCTGGGCCCAAAAGGTTAGCGAGAACTATAATTAATTGCTTTTTTTAAAAATACCAACACCTGCAAGATAAGGCAGTTGGAAAGAATTCATGTTTAATCAGAGCTGTTTTAAGTTTGCATAATGGAAGATTCTGAATGAGAAAATGCAAACCGGTGTTTTGTGATTTGCTTCAGGCCGCACATACTTTGTAAAATGTTAAAAAACAAACACACAAACGAGCAAAGTCTAGTTAGGCATGAGGGTACTATGTGTGAAAGTGAATATGTGATACTGAATGTTTTGTAGTTTATTTTACGTCAAGTTTCCCCTAGAGTTCATTGGCACAAGTGCCAATGTATAGATTCTTCTCTGGGGGCTCTATTTCTTTTCTTTATACTTTTGGAGGTAGCAAGTTGTCTTTACCAACAGAAACTTTTAGAAGGTAGAACTCCACATTTTTGTGGTGGAGATCTTTCTGGGACAGAAATAGGCAGACTGGTTAAGTTTTTGAAATTGTCAAAAGCCAAACTCTGTGTAGGAACCAGAACAAATTCCTTCTGCAACCTCAGCTAGGTTTTTCTGAGACACTTCTTGGTGCAGATAGCACCAGAATATTCCAAAAATATTCTTAGATTATTAAAACTGAAGTAGTTTGGCGAAAGAGGTGGAAAGTTAACCGAAGAACTAACACTCCTCCCCCCAAAAAAGAAAAAAGTTTGTGTGCCAGGCTTTAGAAAACCTAGATGTGTCAAGCTGTTTTAACCTTTGCTAGCCTCCTCCCATGCAAAGGTGACAAGGTCCAGATCATAATATGTCCTTCTGTATCTTCCCAGTGACCCCCAAATTGAATCCTGCTAGTCACTTAGCAGGAAGTTAGTAGTTTATTTTAGTTTCACCTTATCAGCTTGACTTCTTTTCCTAACCTTATTCCCCTGTCACCCTCAGATGCCAGACCCCCGAAGGGGAAGATTGACAGGTAGTTCCCATAGCTCAGTTTTACCCTCAAACAACAGGGATTTAGTTTCTTGTGCCTTTGCCAATGTTTATGTAGTCAAAGTTTAGATCTTGCCTTAAGGAGTCTCTTTTTACGCGTCACTGCAATAGGAAAGCCACAAAGAAGTTTTTGAACAAACCCTTGCAACTGGAACCCCATCTAGTGTTCAGTTTGATTCATCCATGGGAAAGACATTTCCCCCTTTCATTTATTGTGTACATTAGGTGGGCTTGGATCACTATTTTAAAAGCAATGCCTCGTCCATGTTATTTTTTCAGAGATTTCACTTGTATTCTTCCACTAGAGAATACGCTAATCCCGGTCAGAACAGTGAGTGAACTTGGAGGGTACCAGGAAATTTGTCATTTGGTGGCATATCACATCGAGGAAACTTTAGACATCACAGAAAATATGCACAGCATATGTCGTAGTGTTTAAAATTTCTTTGGAATCTTAAGTTGGACATTTGGATTCAGACTTTTCCCAGGTCGGTGCAGAAAAAAAAAAAAAAAGATAAAAGACCAATCAATCAAATATGTTTGTGATAAGAAAAGGAACAGGCTGTTAAAATTAAGGACTCCAAAACCACTGTCATGAGCAATTCTATTAAGAAATGTAAATGCAATTTTAACATAATGGGAAGTACAGTGAAGTGTCTTTCTGAAGAGCTCCAAAAAAGAAAACTAAATCTGGTAGAGTAAGGTGGTTGTGTTTGTTTTTTGTTTTGTTTTTTTCCTTTCCTGGCTGGCTAAACCTTTCTGTGTGGGGCATAGTTTTATTTTTATTTTCTCAGTAGACAGATATGGTAGAACACTTGAATTTTCTGCTTCCGATTCTGCAGTTTGGTTCAGAGGATGAAAAACTGACAGATTTGAATTAGGCACCAAGTAACTAAAAAGTACAACAGGAACTAAAGCATCTAGGATTTTAATATAAATTTGGTGGAGGTATAAGATCACTCTTCCCCGCCCCCCACCAAAAGGCCCAGAAAATTCCAAATATCTGTTTGTGTGTACATACTTAGAAAACCACTGCTTCTTAAATTTTGGTATCTGACTAGGGTTGCTTACAAAATTAATCTGCATGCAAAATCCATAGAAAAGGAACAGGAATGTTATTTTCACCATAGTACAAGGAACAAGGCAACTGTATTTACTATAATGGGGTCACCAGTTGCAATCCTGTGTAACAGATTACTGAGAGAGATACAAGATAGCAGACAATCAGAAAAATGAATTAGAACTGTTCTTGTGTGTGTGTGTGTGTGTGTGTGTGTGTGTGTGTGTGTATGTGAGAGAGAGAGAGAGAGAATGTGTGTGTGCATGTGTATCTTACTACAACTTAAAATATTCCCTTTGGTAAAGAGTCCAACTAGTCCTCATGTTTTGTCTTTTTTTTTTTTTTTTAAATAAAAGACTGTTTCCTTGGAGTTTTGTTCCGAATGTAGATAGATTTAAAGTTAAGAATTATTACAGTGTAGCGACACCTGCTTTTGAAATAAATCAAAATAGATACCAGTATTTTGGGGGCATGGGGGTGTTCATAAACATCAGGAAATTAAATTAGTTCACTCTACAGTGAGATCAAATGTCAGCTTATTAAAAATGTTGTGAAAACCTAAGCTAAAATATGGGCAACTTTTTAACACAGTCTCTTAAAAGCAGGCAGGCATTTATTTTTAAACATCTATATTTTCCATCCAGTTAGCACAATCCTAAATATAAAAATGTTCAGGTTGAAACACTTGAAAATTCTCAAGTGAGTCTTGAGGCAGCACAAATGCAGAATTCGAGTGCAGGAAAGTAATAATCAGCTAAATCCTATAAAGTAACCTGCCTTTTACTTTCTCTATTTATTATGAGAATATCAGATGTTTGCAAGTTATAAAGAATTAAAATCTCTTTTAATCGTGAGCACAGATGTGCTAAATATTTGAAGCAACTACATTGTAATGTGTACAATTGATGAAGTCAGTTTTCTGATTTCCCTTGCTAGTTATTTAGTTCTGAATCTGTCATTATTTGTCTAAGCCCAGCTGACCAAGCAAAACTGTGTTTTAAAGTGGCTTTATGTTTTGATAAATGTGAGCTGGTTGAAAAGTATTTTCCACTGAATGCAGAGCTTAATAGAACATGCTGACATAATAGTTTTAATGCATTTTGTTGAAAATGTGTGAACAAACAGAATAGCTTTTGTTCCTTCATAATTGGCTGTAAAAGTAGATGGAAACATAACCATTACATATGGAAATGTGCAAAGAGAAAGAAATAACATTTCTGTTGAATATATTAGGAATTGCATTTCCTAGTTTAAAATAAGCATCTGAAATGGATGCATCATTTAAAATTGGTTGTCAAAATAAGAAGCTTTAAAGAGAATTTTTTGTCACATTATTTTTGTCCCAAGTTAAGCAACATAACTTTAGCAAATTTCATCTAATATTTTGTTTATATGATTTTAAGGCAGGGGGAGAAGCAGAAAGTGCTTAAAACAGCACCTTCCATGTGCATAGGAATCCAGTGCCAATTAGGATGATTAAACATTAAATTAAAACCAAATCATTATTGGTATTTTCTGCTACAACTAAGATTTGTTTGGT